AGTTTCTGGCATCTTAATAAGGAAGCCTGGTTTTCCATGATTTAACTCCACTTCTCAAAATGTTTTTAATACCTTTCTGCTCTAATGAATTTGTTTAGCCACAATATTCCTCTGCCAAATTTCCTAGCTTTTGAGAGATTCATTTCAGCTGTTATCATTCCTTGGCCAGAAAAATTACTTCTCACTTGACAAATCATAACCTCCCTTTTTATATATAAACTCAATTAACCCGTCTCAACAATTTCCCTTTTGAAAGTACACTCTAGAATGTTAATATGTGTTTAACAAATCTGTAACTGTCCTCCAAGTTCATGTTTTCACATTCTAAATATTTCTTCCTATGTCAATCTCTAATTATTTCTAGACCTTTTCATGGAATCTTAAACAGCAAAACTAGAAGGAAACTTAATAGGTCACCTGAGTTCATCTCCAACCTGAAACATTTATTCACACATTCATCAAACATTTATTGAGTACCAGTGTGTTAGGTCCTGGTGTCCAAAGATAAATAAAACAAAAATCTTAGCTCTGAAAAAAAACTCAATCTAGTGGGAGACAGATATAAACAAATAAATTACAATACAATCTGGGAAGTGCTATAGCAGAATGATGAACACAGAGCAGTAAGAACCCAGAAAAAAAAGAGTGACCCAAAATGCTTTGTAACTCACAAAACAATTTCACAATCCATTAGTTCATTTACTTCTCTAAACGCCTCTGTGACATAGGCATTACAGGCAAGGAAATGGACAATCAGAAATGTTATAGGACATTCCCAAAGTCACTCACCTAATATTGAGTGCTGAAATTCAAACTTTCTTCTTTCTATTTTAAAGTTTCAGTGCATACCCATCAAACTCTGCTGCCCCTTCCCTTCCCTACCTACCACTTAGGGGGTTACATGGAGGAAAAGTACATTGTTTAATAAACTTTACTGTCTCCACATTCTTTTAGGGAATATATATGTTCATTAATCGTTTCTCCATCTATAAGTTGGTGCAAAAGTAATTGTGATTTTGTAGTTGAAAGGAATTGCAAAAACCACAATTACTTTCGCACCAACCTAATAAATCCAAATCCATTTGTATACTGTGAGGCACTGAAATTCTCTTTCAGTCTACCACATTTTGAGAAATAAGAATCCCAGTATCTTCTGACTCTCTCTCCTATTCACCTAAGAAAGTCCATAAACTACTTAAGGGAAGTGTATCATGCTTGGTTTATTGCTTTAAAATGGCATTCAGATCTACTAACAGAACTAGGAAATTCAATCTGTTTTGCATTTTTAAATTATTCACATTATTCAGTGATACAGTAAACATTTACTGAGCACTTACTCCATTATAAGGCACTGAGTTACACACTGTGAAAAATACTGAGATGAAGAAGACATATTATTCACCCTCGTGAGTTTTAAAATATAGAATGAGAGATAAGACATATTACAAATAACTACAATCTAAGGAAGACTGTGATAAGTGTTGTAATAGTGATAATAGACACTGTACAAGTTAAGAGCATGGAAGTGGTGGTATTTGAGAATGAAAAAAAAAATTGTCATAGGGAAATTGGAAAGAAGAAATTACAAATAGGCCAGGCGCCATGGCTCACATCTGTAATCCCAGCACTTCGGGAGGCCGAGGCGAGTGGATCACTTGAGGTCAGGAGCTTGAGACCAGCCTGGCCAACATGGTGAAACCTTGTCTCTACTAAAAATACAAAAATTAGCAGGGCATGGTGGCGAACGCCTGTAATCCCAGCTACTCAGAATACCGAGGCATGAGAATCGCTTGAACCCGGGAGCCGGAGGTTGCAGTGAACTGAGATCACGCCACTGCACTCCAGCCTGGGCAACAGAGTGGGACTCTGTCAAAAAGAAAAGAAAACAAAACAAACAAAAAAACAACGAAATTACAAATAGATGGAACATCATGAGCAAAGCACAATGGTAAAATAAAATAGTAACTAATAACCACAGCTACCATTTATGGAGTACTTATTCTGTGTTAGGCACTGTTCTAAATGCTTTACATACATTATCCCACTTAATCCTTGAAGCAACCATACAAGGTAAATAATATCATTATATCCATACTGCAGATGAGGACATCTAAGTTTAGAGAATTAAAGAACTTGCCCAAAGTTCCATGATTAGCAAACATTATTTGTTTGAAACTCCTTTGTTGCATATCTAATTTAAAAGACAACTGCATAATGCAATAATTATACATCCATATTGATGGACATGTGAAGTATAAAGGTACCATTTGTATGACAATAACAGCACAAAGGAGGGGGAGGGAAAGGAGCTGTAAAGGAGCAAAGCTTTTGTATAATATTGAAATCAAGTTGGTATTAATATGAGCTACATTGTTATAAATTAAGATATTAGCAATCCATAAAACAACCACTAAGAAAATAACTAAAAAGAAAAATAGTAAAAGAAATGACAAGGGAATAAAAATGGTACACTAGAAAATACCTACTTAACACACAAAAAAAGGCAGTAATGAAGGAATAAAGGAACATAAAAGACATAAAATATATAGCAAAAATAACAAAATGCCAGATGTAAATTCTACTTTATTGATAACTACATTAAATGTAAATTGATGAAATAACTACATTAAATGTAAATTGATGAAAATTAAAAAGAGATTGGAAAAAGTGTTCAAAAAATTACAAATATATGATGTCTACAAGAGGTATAATTTTGATTCAAAGGCACAATTTAAGTTGAAAGTAAAAGTATACAATGTGTGTGTGTGTGTGTGTGTGTGTGTGTGTGTGTGTGTGTGTAGCAAACAGTAACCAAAAGAGAGCTGGAGTAACTACACTTCTATCAGGTAAAATAGACTTAAAGACAAAAAGTGTTATGAGAGATAAAGGACATTCTGTGACAATGTAAAAGTCAATACATCAAGAATAAATAGCAGCAGGGTGCGGTTGCTCACGCCTGTAATCCCAGCACTTTGGGAGGCCAAGGCAGGTGGATCACAAGGTCAGGAGATCGAGACCATCCTGGCTAACATGGTGAAACCCTGTCTCTACTAAAAATACAAAAAAAATTAGCCAGGTGTGGTGGCAGGTGCCTGTAGTCCCAGCTACTTGGGAGGCTGAGGCAGGAGAATGGCGGGAACCTGGGAGGTGGAGCTTGCAGTGAGCCAAGATCGTGCCACTGCACTCCAGCCTGGGCAACTGAGCGAGACTCTGTCTCAGAAAAAAACAAAAAAAGTAGCAATTATAAACATATATGTACCTAACCACAGAGCCCCCAAATTATATGAAGCAAAACTTGACAGAATTGAAGGAAGAAATAGACAACAATAATAGTTGGCAACTTCAGTACCCCACTTTCAATAATGGATACAACAACTAGACAGAAGATCAACAAGAGAATGAAAGACTTGAACAGCACTACGAACCTACTAGATCTAACAGACATCTACAGAACACTCCACCAAACAAGAGCAGAATATACATTCTGCTCAAGTATATATGGAACATTCTCCAGGGTAGACCACATGTTTGGCCACAAAAAAGTCCCAATAAATTGAAAAGAACTGAAATCATACAAAGTATAATGTCATTGAAATAAATTAAACAAGGCCAAACAAATGGAAAAAGATCCTGTGTGCATGAACTAGAAGACTTAATATTGCTATGACGGCAATATTTCCCAAATTAATCCACAGATTCCATGCGATACCTATCAAAATCACAGCTGGCTTTTTTGTTTTATTCTGTTTGGATTTTATTTTTTGAGATGGGGTCTTGCTGTTTTGCCCAGGCTTGCCTTGAACTTCCTGGGCTCAAGGGATTCTCCTGCCTCAGCCTTCTATGTAGCTGGGACTACAGGCACGTACCACTGCACCCAGCTTACAGTTGACTTTCTGAAGAAATTGAAAAGTTCTTCCTAAAATATATATGAAAATGCAAACATCTAGCCAAAACAATCTTGAAAAAGAAGAATGTTGGAGAACTGACACTTCCTCATTTGAAAATGTAATACAAAGCCACAGTAATCAAGATGTTTTGGTACTGGCATAAGGATTAACATATAAGTATAGACCAATAAAATAGGATTGAGAGTCCAGAAAGAAACCCATAGATTTATGACCATTTGATTTTCACCAAGGAACTCCAGACAATTAAATAGGGGAAGAATAGTCTTTTCAACGAATGCTGGCAAGACAAACTGGATATCCACATGCAAAGAATGAAATTAGACTCCTATCTTGTGCCATATACAAAAGTTAAATTGAAATGTATCAAAGACTTAAATTTAAGACGTAAAAATAAAAACTGTAAAACATAGAAATAAATTTTAGTGACCTTAGATTAGGCAATGGTTTCTTAAATGTGACACGAAAACCACAAGCAACCAAAGACAGACTTTATCAAAACTTAAATTTTGTGCTTCAAAGAACTCAATCAAGAAACAGGCCGGGCGCAGTGGCTCACGCCTGTAATCCCAGCATTTTGGGAGGCCAAGGAGGGTGGATCACAAGGTCAGGAGATCGAGACTATCCGGGCTAACACGGTGAAACCCCGTCTCTACTAAAAATACAAAAAATTAGCCGGGCGTGGTGGTGGGTGCCTGTAGTCCCAGCTCAGAGGCAGGAGAATGGCGTGAACCCAAGAGGTGGAGCTTGCAGTTAGCGGAGATGGCGCCACTGCACTCCAGCCTGGGCGAGATTGCGAGACTCAGTCTCAAAAAAAAATTAAAAAAGAAGGAAAGAAAGAAACTGAGAAGACAGTTCATGGGATGGATAAAAACATTTGCAAGTCACATAACTGATAAGGATTTAGAATCCAGAATATATTTTAAAAACTCTTAAAACTCAACAATAAAAAGAAAAATAATCCAATGTTAAAATGGGCATTTTAATAGACATACTTCCAAAGAAGATATGCAAATGGTCAATAAGCTCATGAAAGATGCTCAATATCATTAGTCATCAGGGAAATGCAAATTAAAACTATAAAATAGGCGGTGCACCCTGGCATAGGGAGCGATCTCTGAGCGAGAAGGCAAGATGCATGTGGGATTCTTCCCCGATCAAGTGGAGAACAGAATAATCAGTTCTGCAACAGACAGAAGAAACTACTGAAGCAGTTGAAATTTGCAGAATGCCTAGAAAAAAAGGGGGACACGAGCAAAGTAAATTTGGAAGTTATAAAGCCTTGGATAACAAAAAGAGTAATGGAAATCCTTGGGATGAAGATGATGTTGTGATTGAGTTTATATTCAACCAGTTGTAAGTGAAGAACCCAGACTCCAAAATGATGCAAATCAACCTGACTGGATTTTCGAATGGAAAAAATGCTCGAGAATTTGTGGGAGAACTGTGGCCCCTGCTGCTAAGTGCACAAGGAAACATCATGGGAATTCCTTCTGCTTTCCTAGAACTGAAGAAAGAAGAAATAAAACAAAGACAGACTGAACAAGAAAAATTCGCATCTATGAAAAAGCAAGACAAAGACAAAGATAAAAGGCATAGGGAAGAAAAAGAAAGCAGCAGAGAAAAAACAGAGAGGTCTCGTAGCCCAAGAAGATGCAAATCTCCTTCCCCTAGAAGACGATCTTCCCCTGTTAGAAGAGACAAAGTGCAGTCATCCTTGATCTCCCCGTCACAGAACCAAGAGCCAGAGTCCTTCTGCTCCAGAAAAGAAGGAAAAACCTCCAGAGCTCCCAGAACCTTCAGTGAAGGTAAAAGAACCTTCAGTAGAACAGGCCACTTCTACTAGTGACATTCTGAAAGTTCCCAAACCTGAATCTGTACCAGAGCCTAAAGAACCTTCTCCGGAAAAAAAAAAAAAAAAAAAAAAAAAAAAAAAAAAAAAATTTCAAAAAGAAACGCAGAAGGAAAAGACCTGACCACGATCTCGGACACGCTCCAAATCAAGATCCCAGATGCGGTCCCACTCTCCTTCTCACACTCCACCTAGACGGCGCCATAGATCCTGATCAAGATTGTATTCACCTAGAAGGCGGCCAAGCCCAAGAAGGCAGCCATCTCCTCGAAGAAGAGCTCCACCAAGAAGAATGCCTCCTCCACCAAGGCATAGAAGGAGTAGATCTCCAGTAAGATGAAGAAGACGTTCGTCAGCATCCTTGTCTGGGAGTAGCTCATCATCCTCTTCATCTCATTCCCGGTCACCACCAAAGAAGCCTCCCAAGAGGACAGCCAGCCCCCCTTGAAAAATTTGTAGGTTATCTCCTTCAGCAAGTCCTCCAAGGCGAAGGCACAGGCCATCTCCTCCTGGAACTCCACCACCCAAAACTCGGCATTCCCCAACACCCCAGCAGTCAAACTGTACAAGAAAAAGTCGTGTTTCTGTATCTCCAGGGAGAACTTCAGGTAGTGACAAAACATAAAGGTACTGAGAAAAGGGAATCCCCTTCACCAGCGCCGAAGCCTAGAAAGGCAGGGTTATCTGAATCAGAAGAAGATAAAGGTGGTAAAATGGCTGCAGTAGATTCTGTGCAGCAGAGACGCCCATACAGACGATAAAACCAGCAGTCTTCATCTGACTCTGGCTCCTCCTCCTCCAAAGAAGATGAAAGACCCAAGAGATCCCATGTGAAGAATGGTGAGGTTGGCAGGCGGCAGACATTCCCCTTCCCGGAATGCCTCTCCATCACCACGAAAGCGCCAAAAAGAGACTTCCCCTCCTGGTAGATGGAGAAGAACTCCATCCCCACCACCCACCAGAAGGCGATGGTCTCCTTCTCCCGCCTCTCTTCCTCGACGGCGCAGTTCTCCAACACCACCACCACGAAAAAGAACTCCTTCTCCTCCCCCACATCGGTGCTCAGCCTTCTCCTAGAAGATACTCTCCTCCAACAGAGAGGAGATACTCTCCTTCTCCAACTCCAAAGAGAAGAATGGCTTCTCCTCCTCCCCTTCCTGAACAAAGAGCATCACCATCTTCACCACCAAAGCATTGGGTCTCCCATTCTCCACCTCCCAAACAAAGAAGCTCCTCAGTCACCAAGAGATGTTCACCTTCATTATCATCGAAGCACAGGAAAGGGTCTTCCCCAAGCCGCTCTACCCACCAGGCCCGATCACCACAATCAAACAAATGACATTCGCCCTCACCACAGCCTCGAGCTCCTCAGACCTCTTCAAGTCTTCCACCCATTCGAAGAGGAGGGTCGTCATCACCCCAAAGAAGGCAGTCCCTGTCTCCAAATACTAGGCCCTTTAGGAGACTCTCCAGGACTCTGGAACCTAAAAAGATAAAAAAAGCCTGCTTCACCAAGCCCACAGTCTATAAGGAGGGTCACATATTCCTAATCTGTCTCCGGGTCTCCTGAGCCAGCAGCTTAAAAGCCCCCAGCACCTCCATCCCCCGTCTGGTCTCAGGCACCATCTACAAACTGGACACCAGCTGTACCGGTCAAAAAGGCCAAAAGCCCAACACCAAGAGCATCACCACCAAGAAATTCCAGTCAAGAAGGAGGTGGGAAGAAAAAGAAGGACAAGAAACACAAAAAGGATAAGAAGCACAAGAAGCACAAAAAACACAAGAAGGAAAAGGCTGTGGCTGCAACTGCTGCAGCTGCTGTGACCCCTGCAGTCATTGCAGCTGCCACAACCACATTAGCACAGGAAGAACCAGTGGCAGCGCCAGAGCCGAAGAAGGAGACTGAAAGTGAAGCTGAAGATAACCTTGATGACTTAGAAAAGCACCTGCGTTGGCCAGGCGCGGTGGCTCACGCCTGTAATCCCAGCACTTTGGGAGGCCGAGGGGGGCGGATCACAAGGTCAGGAGAGCGACACCATCCTGGCTAACACGGTGAAACCCCGTTTCTACTAAAAATACAAATAAAATTAGCCAAGCGTAGCGGGGGGCACCTGTAGTCCCAGCTACTCGGGAGGCTGAGGCAGGAGAATGGCGTGAACCCCGGAGGCGGATGTTGCAGTAAGCCGAGATCGCGCCACTGGCCTCCAGCCTGGGGGACAGAGTGAGACTCCATCTCGGAAAAATAAAAAGAAAAAAGAAAAGCACCTGTGTGAAAAGGCCCTGAGATCAATGAGGAAGGCCCAAGTGTCCCCACAGTCTCAGGCGGAAATGTTTGTTACGATGTAAATTTTATTTGGTTTGTATGCAGTTCAATTTCAAAATTGCTAAAATGTGCTTGAGTTTTAGACTATAACATTTGTTGTAATAATTGCTAGGTTGAAGTTCACCATGTAAAACAAGGGGCATGGATTTACATTGCAAAAGTTGTCCATACTGTATTAGTGACATTCTTTCACTGACAGCTGACATAATTCATTTAGAGTGAAATATTTTAAGCCAAAAAAAAAATCCCCTTTTTAAAAAGGGGGGTTTAAATACTATTAGCATTTTCATGGTTCCTTTAAATGCCCTGGCTATTCCCAGAGCGTTTTTTTGTTTGGTTGGTTGGTTGGTTGGTTTGTGGTTTTCTTTTTGTTTTTCTTTTTCTTTACATTTTTTTCATTTGAGTCTTAGCACCCATTTAACTTATGCTTCTGACGTTGTATGTTCTGTAAGCTTGCCCAGAAATAAGACCACTGTTTTGAACTACCACAAAAGTATAAATGAATATCTTAATGCCATAATCTTTCCTGTTGCCTGTGGAGTTTCTGCTGAAATGAATCAGGATTCAAGCTCTAAGATGAGACAGAAAATGAAAGCATGCTGTTTGCCAGGACACTGTGGATTTATATTGATGTGTAACAAGTTGATCTGGAACACTGGACCCTCATTCTGTTCTTCTGGTTTTGTGTTTTTGTTTTGTTTTTTCTTTTGTAAAGGCAATGAGCTAGTCCCAGGAAGGATCCTTTAGTTACATACAATTTTGTTTAATGAAATGTCATGGCTCTGTTCATATTTTTCTCTTGTTCTTCCAATCAGTATATAAAACTTTCCGAGCTCTTGTATTTGGAAGGCTGGAAGGGCCCAGACTTTGGAACAGTGTCTTAGTTTCACTGTTTTTGTTTTGATTTTTTTTTCAGTTTTTTTTTTTTTTAATTAAAGCTATGTAAAGCTTGTGGATTAAACAGAATAAATTTCTAAATTTAAAAAAAACTAAAATAACACTTCATACCCACTAGGTGGCTATAATAACAAAAAGAGGCCGGGCGCGGTGGCTCAAGCCTGTAATCCCAGCACTTTGGGAGGCCGAGACGGGCGGATCACGAGGTCAGGAGATCGAGACCATCCTGGTGAAACCCTGTCTCTACTAAAAATACAAAAAAACTAGCCGGGTGAGGTGGCGGGCGCCTGTAGTCCCAGCTACTCAGGAGGCTGAGGCAGGAGAATGGCATAAACCTGGGAGACAGAGCTTGCAGTGAGCTGAGATCCGGCCACTGTACTCCAGCCTGGGTTAATGCAATAGATTAGGTCCCTGGTCAAAAAAAAAAAAAAAAAGAAAAGAAAAGAAAGAAAGAAAAGAAAGGATAGTAACAAGTGTTGGTGAGGGTACGAAGAAACTGGAACCCTAATACATTACTGATAGGGATGTAAATGGTGCAGCCGGGTTTGAAAACAGTCTGACAGTTTCTCAAAATAATAAACATAAAGTTACCATATGACCCAGTGATTTCACTTATAGGTATACATGCAGTAGAATTGAAAGCATATGTTCACTCAAAACATTGTACAAATATGTTTATAGGCTAGGCACGGTGGCTCACTCCTGTAATCCCAGCACTTTGGGAGGACAAGGTGGGCAGATCACGAAGTCAGGAGTTCAAGACCAGCCTGGCCAACACAGTGAAACCCTGTCCCTACTAAAAATACAAAAATTAGCCAGACATGGTGGCATGTGCCTATAGTCCCAGCTATTCAGGAGACTGAGGCAGGAGAATCACTTGAACCCAGGAAGCAGAGGTTGTGGTGAGCCGAGATTGCACCACTGCACCCCAGCCTAGGCAACAGAGCAAGACTCCGTCTCAAAAAAAAAAAAAAAAAATGTTTATAGCAGTGTAATTCAAAATATCCAAAAGGTAAAAATAGTCCAGATGTCCATCAAACGAAAGGTGGTACATCCATACAAAGGAGTATTATTCAATCAGAAAAAAGAATGAAGTACTGATACATGATACAATATGAATGGACTTTGAAAACATTATCCTAAGTGAAAGAAGTCAGACACAAAATGTCACATGCTTCATGATTCATTTATATTAAGTGCCCAGAATAGGCAAGTTCATAGAGATAGAAAATAGATTAGTAAATTCACAGCCAAGGGGATGGGAGAACGGAGAGTGTCTGCTAATAAGAACAGGACTTCTTTTTTTATTTTTATTTCAAGTTCCAGGGTACATGTGCAGGTTTGTTACATGGTAAACATGTGCCATGGTGGTTTGATGCACCTATCAACCCATCACCTAGGTATTAAACCCAGCATGCATTAGCTATTTTTCCTAATGCTCTCTGTCCCCACAACCCACCTCCCAACAGGCCCCAGTGTGTGTTATTCCTTTCCCTGTGTCCATGTGTTCTCATGAAGAGGGTTTCTTTTGAGGGTCATGAAATGTTCTGGAATTAGGATAGTGGTGACAGTTTTATAACTTTGTGACTATACTAAAAACCACTGAATTGTAGGCTTTAAAAGGGTGAATTTTATGATATGTGAATTGTACATAAATATTTTAGAAGAAAGAATAAAGGGTAATGGTAAAACTAAGAATAAATACAGTTTTTAGCCTATGTGACCAAAACAGTGGTGATAATATAAACAAAAATAAGAACTTCATGTGGGACAATTTGTTGGATAAATAGAAATAAATAAATTCAGTTCTAAAGACATAGTACTTGAAACTGACTGTGAAAATGGATGCCATCACTCAAGGAGAGAGCATGCAAAAATCAAGAAAAAGAGGAAGAGGAGAGAGGAAGAATGGGGAGAAAGAGAAGGAGAAAGAAAGGGAGAGAGAGGAAAGAGAAAAACCAAGAGGCGAGGATATAACTAGGAAGAAAGTCCACATTTGATAGTCAGAAGGATGACAGAAGGGAGTTAAGAGAAGGGAAAAAGAGGTGGAAGAACTAGAAGAGTACAATGACAAGAATAGTGAAAGGGAAGAACTTTTCATAAAGATGAGTGTAGCTAACCAGGCACGGTGGCTCACGCCTGTAATCCCAGCACTTTGGGAGGCCGAGGCAGGCAGATCACCTGAGGTCAGGATTCAAGATCAGCCTGACAAACATGGTGAAACCTCGTCTCTACTAAAAATACAAAATTAGCCGGGCGTGGTGACGCATGGCTGTAATCCCAGCTACTCAGGAGACTGAGGCAGGAGAATCTCTTGAACCTGAGAGGCAGAGGTTGCAGTGAACCGAGATCCCACCATTGCACTTCAGCCTGGGCAACAAGAGCAAAACTCCATGTCAAAAGAAAAAAAAAAAAAATGAGTGTAGCTAATAGTCTGTCAAATGTTACAGACTGATCAAGGAGACTAGGAATGAATGCAATGAATTTGACAAGAAGAAAGGTCATCTGTCAACTTTCAGGAATGCTTTTCAAAAGAGAGATCCAAACTGCCAGTATTAAGAAGAATGGGTCATAAATATAAAGAGAGATGATTGGGAAAGGAAGAGAAATGGGACAGGAACATGAAAGGATGTAGAAGGACAATAGCAAATAAACTGAAGTACACAAAACCCGACACAAAAAGACATTTGTACAAGCATAATTTATAATTAACATAAAATACAAACAACCTAAATTATCTAACAATATGTAAAAAATAAATGATTGCACAAATACAGAAGCATTGTCTGGTATCATGATTAAGAGAACAGACTCTCAAGCCAGACTGCTTAAATTTGAATTCTTATTTATTTATTTATTTAAGACAAGGTCTCGCTCTTTCGCCCAGGCTGGAGTGCAGTGGCACAGTCTCAGCTCACTGCAACCTCCCCCTCCTGTGCTCAAGTGACTGTCTTGCCTCAGCCTCTCAAGTAGCTGGGACTGTAGGCGCATGCCACCACACTTGGCTAATTTTTTTGTATTTTTTGTAAAGACAGGGTTTTGCCAGGTTTCCCAGGCTGGTTTCAAACTTCTGGGCTCAATCCCTGATCCACCCACCTCGGTCTACCAAACTGCTGGGATTACAGGTGTCAGCCACCACGCCTGGCCGAATTTGAATTCTGACTCTACCACTTACTAGCTGAGTGACCATGGGCACTACTCTGTGCCTTATTTCCTCATCTGCAAAATGGGATAATAACAATAATATCTACCTCATAGTGTTGA